TCTCTGCTGATCAATTATCAGAAGACACCACGTCGTCTCCTTTCCCCCTGGAAAGGGGCTTTTGCAATGGGCTTTGCACCACCCCCCGCCCCGGAAGAAGGCAGAGGCTGATTTTGATCTAGACGCAAAGGCATTCTGGGTATTGTCTTCAGGCCTGATCGAGTTTTTCACGATACATCATCACTGGCATCGGAGGCTGTGCGATTTCGACGTAGAACTTAATGAGAGAATAAAATATCTGTGAATGCAAATGAACAATCCCCAAGGTAAGCAGGAGAGGCCTAGGGAAGCCAGGCCTTGTTGAACTTTGGCTCCCAAACAACCTGCGAATGAGATACAGCTGAGTGCATTGCTGACGCCCTGTGGAAGAAAGGTGGTGTCTCCCTACAGCAGTGAAGGTGAAGCTTTTAGAGCTTTCAATTATAACAAACAGTGGGCGGTGGCACTGTGCCCCAGGTTCACCACCACAGCCCTAGGAGCAGAGCAACGTCTGATTTATTAAAACTCCGGGTAGAGTCAAGGGAGAGCTTTCCATGGGGGCGATGAGGATTGGAATGTACTAGTTTAGGATTGGTGAACCCAAGGTAATGGGTCCACAGGTGTAAATTATCTGTTGATGGCATGATGAGACTTTCCAGAAACTTCTATAATGAAATATCTTCATGTGCACAAGAGGCTCTGCAGTACTAAAGTTACACTAACTAAGGAGCTGGACAGTAGAGTCTAGAAGACCCAGTGTAGATGTAGCATGAGCATAGCCAGGGCCCCGGGGGTTTGGAACAAAATTCCAAGCCTGCTGTGGGCTTTCAGCTTTGTTGGGGATAAATGGAACTGTGTTTGTGGATCTGAGAGTGTGTATGGGTGTGGGGAGCCTGCCAGGAAATGGTTGTCCTTTCTAGGCAATAGCAATGCCGGTCTGACATGAGGATCTGCACTAGAACACAGGGGGCCAACTTGCAGGAGAACAGCCCCCGGCAACCTGCCCCTACTCAGGGGAGCCCTGCAGAGTCCCTCATTGAGCAGCTGCAGAAGGCCAGAGAGGGCAGCGTCCAAGTTTGGCTGGCTTTGGGGGAAAGTCAGGGAGCACATGCAGAGCTGATCATAGCTGCGATCCAAGGGGTGACAGGAACTCATCAGGCTGGGAAAGGACAAAGTAAGGGGGCTCTCAGGTGGAGGAAGCTTTCCAGCCGTAGATGCAGGAAAACTCCCTACATGCTCTGGGTATGGCAAGTGGTTCCTTGTCCCTGGAGCCCAGTGGGTTTTCGGAACAACAGGAAAGGAAGTTTGAGGCCAGGTTGTCAAGGACTTTGTTTGCACAGGGTTTGGGGTTTTCTCCCACAGCTGGCACGGAGCCCCTAAAAGAGGATTAGCAGCCAAGTGCCATGATTTGATTTACTATTTAGAATTCTCCTCCAGCTGGAGAGTAGTAAGCGGATGCAAAAAGGCCAGCGGCCAGGAAGCTGTGGTTGCAATGACAGAGTCCAAGGGCCTTCACTAAGAAAGTGGCTTTGTGGAGAGGGAAGAGTCACTGTCGTGCTGTGGTGAATGTGGAGAGGAGGAGAAGGGTTTCCAGCATGTGTGGTACCCTAGACTCTGGGACAGTTAGCTGAGAAGGGCAATGCAGGGGAATAGGAGGTTTATTGGGATCCTCTCATTTTGGACATGTTGACCTCATGTCTAAGACAGGCAAAGTAGAAGCTCCTCTGAGAGGTGAGGATTGAACAGTGCAGTTCAGCTTCCCTAGCAGAAAAGAAGCCGTGGAATAGCCAAAAGCACCAAAGGGGCGAGTATAAATCATGAGCAAAGATAAAAAGCCTGAAGGAAGCTGTTGCACTCTTGCTGCAATATCAAATCCTGTGCTACCTGGCCATCTTAGAAGTTCCTATGCTTCTCCCTCCAGGGAAGGAGAAACATCTTGGGACAGGTAGCTGCACCAACATCTGGGGGCCTCACCCATCTGGAGGACCCAATGGAAGGGTCCATGACAACACAGAGAAATGTGCTCGGGGGAAAAAAGAAGGAAAAGAACTCCCCCCACCTCACGAAGGCAATTAGTCTGTGGAACGGAGGTGCTGGCCTATTTCTTACTCTGAATTTAATCAACTCAGTGCCTGAAAGGTTGGGAGACGATAGAGAAGGGAAAGAAGAAATTGTTACACATGAAGGCTGCTTCTCCAGCGACCCAGCTATGCATGCTGCAGGAAGAACAGGTGTGTTCCTGGGACTCGGTGGCTGAACAAGAAGGAAAGAGTGGTCCTGAAGGAGGCAGACAGAGCGGAGACGTAGGGACGCTCATGCGGGAGAGGCCAGCTCCTGGGAAGCCCACACAGCTCTCCCGGACTGGTGTTCCCAATCTTGAGCACATCAAGATTGTTCCAAGGCCTCGTTAAAACACAGCGCTCGTTAAAACAAGGCTTCAGAGTCAGTCAATCTAAATGAGGATGGAGAAAGTGTGATTCTACCAGGTTCCTGGACAATGCTCCAGCTTTTGGAGAGTGACCAGACTTTGAGAAGCACAGGGCTATGGAATCCCCAGGGCGGGTGGGGGTTGCATACCATTGCTGGAGGTGGTTTTAGATAGGACACAGGGGACTCTTACAGTTTGTAACAGTTGTGCATGCATTTTCATGTGTGTGTACAGCACACTGCTAGTGTTGCATATTGAATTTATGATTTTTAAGAATGTTCAGAACACATCTAACGTGTGTATAATTTTAAAATGAGCTCATAAATAAAAACATGAAGTAGAAAATTCATGTAGGTAAAATGTGAGAATGGAAAATATCAGAGGTATGTGAATGACTAATATTTAGTAAATATTAAAATGAAAAGATTAAGAAGGTCTGGGAGTGTAGCTCAGTGGAAGAGGGCCTGCTCAGTATGCACGAGACCCTGGGTTTGAACCCAGTACCCAAAAGCAAAACAAAAAAGAAGACACCTTATGGTTACGTTGAGTAGGTAGGAGGTGGATATCTAAAACTAACCAGCGAGAGACTCATAGACACTGGTTAGTCAGAAAGGACACAGAAAAAACAAGAAAGCTGCAGCAGTAAGTACAGCTGAAAATCGTCCCAGTTAGGGTAATGAATCATGTCCTTGTTTCATAGATGAAGAAACTGAAGTTGAAAGAAACTCTTCCAGGAACTCAGTCAGCCAGGAGCAAAGTTATGACTAGAATTTACAGAATTTTGTGGGGACAAGAAGGACACAGGTGCCCAAGACACTTGTAGGGAAGGTGAGCACCATCCTCGGGGGACCCTGGAAAATGAAGGGCTTCCCCTGTCATCCTACACAGATCCACATGGACCCCCATCCTCTCCTACAGCTGACGAGGCCTTCCACGGAGGTCACTGCCCACGGCACGGGGCTGCGCGCACCAAAGGTTTTGCTTGTTTGCATTCATTCTAAAAATACTTCCTGAGCGTAGCTCTGCAGCAGGAAATGGCTGAGACGGGGGTACCAAAGCAGTAAGGTGTCAACTCTTCCCTGAAGGAGTTCCTGGTCTCCTAGTAAAGAGAGAAGCTGGTGAGAGGATGATCCAGGGCGCCCCCAGGTGGTGACCTGATGTCCCTCTGAAGCCCGGAAGCGCAGCGTCTCAGCGCAGCGAGGGAGGAACACGCTACTCTAGGCTGAGGAGCCAGTGCGAAGGGCGGAGAAGAGAGGTCAGCATACACTGCGGAAACCAAATGGGTTCAGCGGGGTTCACCCTCAGCTCTGAGAGAGGAGTGATAGGAAAATAAAACTGGGTGCCCTGGGTGCCAGGCACTGTTCCATGCACACTTGGAACACATATTTACACTCCCACCCATAAATCCACCGCACATGAACGCATATGCACATATTACGTGTATAGGAACGTATATAAGATGCATACATGAATTTAATCTTTAGTTTTCACAATCCTAGAGGCTGGTACTATGATTGTTCCCATTTAACACATGCAACAAACACACAGAAGGCTTTACTAGCCCACCAAGCATTTGCAGCTAGGACGCAGCAGAGCTGTGAGCTGAGCCCCGCCGTAGGCTCCGGAACCTGTGGTCTTCCACGCTGTAGTCCAGTGCACTGGTGGGATGTGAAATGGGACAGAGGCGGGGCCGGTCTCGGGTATCCTGCAGGATGGAGCTTGACTGTGAGGGACGACGAGTGGAAAGATTTTAAGCTGAGGAGGCCATGCTTTGTTTTTTCGACAGACATTTGTTTATTCAACAGATAGCAGGAAGCACATTTAGGGCTCCGGGTAGAGCAGTGAGCAAAGTAGCAATGACCCCTAAGCTCCATGAGTTTATAGTCTAGCACTGGGAAGAGCCACGAATTGGGAAGTGCACAGTGAACTCGTGGCTATGGTGATGACAAGGGCAGGTCAGGGGCCAGCGAGAGTAAGAGCGATGCAACTTGGGACTCGCGGGCACACAGCAGCCAAACGGAAGTGGGAAGAGGGTGGCGAGCCGAGTTCTGGGCAGAGAGAACTGAGAATGCCCTGACTCTCACATTCAGGGAAAAGACTCAGCGAAGAATTCAAGGGAGATCTGGGAACAGGTACGTGAACGGGAGTTTGATTTTTTTTGAAATGTTGAATTTGAGACTCTAACAAGGCACCCCATTAAGCATTTCCACCCTTCAGCCATTAATCCTTTTTGTGTGTTGGGAGCTTTCTACTTTTCTAGTACTTTTGAAAGATATCATAGATTGTTTTAGCCAATAATTACCGTACTGAGCTAAAGAACCAGAAGTGACTCTCTCCCTCTGTGATTTTGGTTCACTGCATTTCTTGATTTGCACATGTTGAACCATCCTTGCATCCCTAAAATGAATCCTGTGCAGTGGTGGTGTGTGATCTTTTTGATGTGCTATTCAGTTTGAGAATTTTAGCATCTGTGTTCATCAAGGCTATAAGTTTGTAGTTTTTCTTTTCTTTCTTTCTTTTTGGTATATCTTTGTTTGGAGTCAAGATACAGCTGGCCTCATAAAAAAGAGTTTAGTAGAGTTCCTTCCATTTCAAAAATATGGATAGCTTCGCAAATTTGCATGTCATCCTATGGCTGGGGCCGCGCTAATTTTCTCTATTGCATTCTAATTTCAGCACTTGTACTGCTGAAGCGAACACACTTGGTATTTTTAAACATCTAATGATATCACAATTCTCACAAGGTTTAGTTCTCCTTTGTGTGAGAAACAAACCTAAAATTTTAAAAAATGGAATGATTCGACTTCTTCCAATTTCAGAAAAACCCGAACATGTAGACAAAAATTTATGTGTCTTTAATTCCCCCCCGAGCTGGCTGGTTTACACATTGCTCCAGCCCTGCAAGGTGTTCTTTTCCAAGGACCGTCTGTTTAGGGCTACATAAATGCTCTTCAGTAGCTCCTTAATACCATTCCACTTTGGGTTTCTCACTTCTCTGGAGTTCTTTCCTCCGCTTTTTGTTTGTTTGTTTGTTTTGTTTTTTGTTTTTTTAAACACAGGAAGAGAATCAGGAATTGCCAAGTTTTGGAAGAAAAAGTACTAAATTCAAAGAACATGTAGATTCTAACTGTATGGCTTTTTTTACATGGTCCCTGAAGCTGCCTGAGCCATTCACTCAACTTGAGGCAAAGCCATTCAAACTGTTGAGTTTAATTTGGCAACAGTAAACAGAGCTATAGTGTTCTATTGTTACTTAGATTTTTTTCCCCAGTGGTCTCCCATGATATACAGTTCAACTTTTCAATTAAATTTGAAAGAATTGTTTTTTAAATGGAAGAACCCAAAGCCTTGAGTTTTGCTCTCATCTCTGCCACTAATATCTTGTGACCAGCCAGGCATGGTGGCATATGCCTGTAATCTGAGCATTCAGGAGGCTGAGGCAGGAGGATTGCTGTGAGTTCGAGACCAGTCTGGGCTACATAGTGAGTTCCAGGTCAGTCTCATCTACATAGTTAGACCCTGTCTCAAAAAAACATACCCCAAAAAATACCTTGTGACCAACCCAGTGTCACCCTTGATTTTTTAAATGAAGCAAAAACTAATTGGGGCTAGGGGTTTCACTCAGTGGTAGGCCACCTGCCTAGTATGCAAAAGCCCTGGGTTTGATCCCCAGCACTGCAAAAAAAAAAAGTAAATCAACTACATGTTGAAAACTTACTGTGAATAGGTACTGTGTGTGTGCCACATGGGAATGAGCAGCCTCGAATTCATGAAGTAGAATAGCAGGTGGTTGTGTGATCATAACCCATTGCCAACAAGATGGCAATTGGTCTGTGTTGTGTGGGGGCTTAGCAAAGACAGTGAGAAGGATCAAGAAAGATGCCTCCTAGCAGATGCTGTATTTTAAGGGGCACTGAATGATGAGGGAGCCTTTGGAAGGTGAACATGGTGTTGAGGGCTGGGAAGGGAAGGGAAGGTAGATGGCTAATATGGTCTGGATCTGAATTGTCCCCCCAAAGTCTCCTGTGTTAGGAATGTGATTGGCCCATGAGAAAGCTACTCTCGTCTGTGGATTTATCTGTTGTTGAGCTCAGCAGTTGAATGTGCTACTAGGAGATGGGGCCTGCAGGGAGGTGGGCCACTGGGGTGTGACCTGGAAGGGTGGGTTCTTGGCCCCAGTTTCTCCTTTTCTCTCTGTTCCCTGGCTGCAGTGGGGTGAGCAGCTTTCCCCTACTAGGCCCTCCCACCGTGAGTTTCTGCCTTGGAATCAGCAAATTATAGATACAATTATAGATACGGGAAAGTATAAGCAAATGAAGCTCCCCTCCATTAAGTTGTAGGTGTCAGGTATTTTGTCCCAGCCACAAGAAAGTAGGTAATACGACAGCAATGGGCACAGCATTCCAGATGCAGGAAAAGCAGACACAGAGACACAGAAGTACAGGGGTATGGGAGTCACTTAGGGCTGAGTTTATGATTGCCACAATCCACAATGACATAAGTACAGAAATTGAGAGTACTTAAAAATTACATTGCAATGTAAAGGAGTAATCATATTTCTCTTGAAACTAATCAAAGTGGAGCTGGGATTTGTGCTTGTGGTTTATTTCATTTTTTTCCAGTGTTACATTATCGTTGTCCCACTGTCCCCCTTCAGTGTCACTTTTTTTTCTTTTTTTGGTACCAGGGATCGAACTCAGGTCCTTGCACTTAGGGAGGCAGGTGGCAGAACCACTGAGCTAAATCCCCAGCCCTCAGTGTCACTTTCCACAGGGTCCATTAGTCAGCCAAGGTCTGAAAATACTACAGAGAACATTCCAGAAATAAATAATATGTGGGCTTTAAGTTGTAGGTTGCCCTGGGTAGCGCAATGACATCTCACACCATTGTCCTCTGTCCTTCCTGGGGTATGATGCATCCCTTTGTCCCGCCTGTCCGTTCTGTATGCTCTACCTGCCTTTTTGTCACTTAGTCGCCACTCAGTTACAGACCAACTGTTGGGAATTGCAGGGCTTGTGTTCAAGTAACTCCTGTACACATGGCGATGCTGTAGGGAATGTGGGGGGGGAAACGTCGTATGCATAGGGTTTGATACACCTGAGGTTTAAGGACTCCATTGGAAGATATTAGACTGCATCCTCTGTAAATAAGAAGGACAGGGGGAATTCTGAGCTTTGCAAGTGGATTGGTCTGTGGCAGATTTGAAACTTAAAAGCTGGTCCTTCGTCTCAGTTAATCTGAGAAGCACCAGGGCCTAGCAATCCTCACATCACTTGCCCCTCACAGTGTAGACTCTGAAGCAGAAACGGAACAGGTGAGCTCAAAGTGGCAGGCGAGGCTTAGTGAGGAGGGGTTATTTTCAGGGTGGTGTAAACCAGTTCACAGACTCAGAGGACACAGGGAGACAGGAGAATGGGGGGAAGCTGGGATATGTGAAATCTGAGGGATACATGTAAATTCTCATGTTTTTACTCACCGGTACAGGCAGGGCATGCCTGCGGGCCATGTGTGGGCCACTTGTTCGCAGTCTCTGAGGTAGGCAGATGGGGCTGAGCCACTCAGTTCGCAGATCACAGCAGGACAAAAGATCGCTGTCCCTAGGGCCCCAGAGGCCCCAGCACCTCTCAGGGATGGCGTGGGAGCAGCAGCTCCTGTGAGATTGAGCCCAGCGAAAGGAAGGCACAACAGTGACCTGTGTGTGCCCCAGCCTCCAAGGACCGCGCAGCAGGAAGAACGTCCCCGGGGATGCCAGTGAGGGTGGGCGACGACACGGAACTGACTGCCACCTGCCAGCCTCGCCCCCTGCAGAAAGAGCTTCTGACAGGCTCATGATACGGTGGCGCTGACTTAGCTCCCGCCTTCCGCCACACGGGGCAAGGAGCTTCGAAGCAAAGGCCAGGCTCAGTTTGCAGACTTCCCCACCACACTCTCCAGCAGCGCTTGGAATGAGCAGGCTGAGACCTGCTTTCTTTCCCGCGGGCACTGTCAAAGGCAGCCCTTTACCAGAAGACCGCTACTCTTTCGAGAACCAAATTGCACATATTCCTTGGCTGTAGAAAAGAGAGTGAACGCACACACTCCACTGAGTGCTAAAGTCTGAAGCTTCCAGAGTGTTGGGCTCCCTGGGAAAACAACTCACACCCTCTTTAACAATCAAAATTCTTTATTTCTACGCAGTCAGCGGTGGGACCAATGAGGTTAGGTCTCAGGTTCCACCGACGGCTTTGAGGAGACACTGCATGATTATAGCTGGGAAGGAAAGGATGGGAAAGATTGCTTTTCCTCCACATTTGCTAACACCTGTGCCCAGCATCCAATATTAGCACTAAGTTCCCAGGAGGCTGCTGCTCTTATTTGCTAAAACCAAAGTAGGAATGACCCAGCAAACATGAAAAATAAAGAGAAACAACAGGTGTGGGTGGCTAGGAGCATATAGAGCAAAATATTTCTTCTTCGTTACTAAATTCTAACACCATAGCACATTTACATTTTACAGGGAGCTTTTTAAAAAGAAAAGATGCATAAGGAAACCACCATTGCTTTCCTGAGCTGAGGATTAGAATTAAGGCCAGCATCTCACTGGAAAATAAGAAAATTTCTGAATCAGAAGAGTCACACTGGTAGAGCTGGTAAATCTATGCCTTGCTTGCCAGCAGCTGTATTTCTCTCTTGCTCCTTCAGCCTTAGAATTTATCTATATTTGAGCAATTATCCAAATGACTGTCCAACTCTTCTAGCAGCAGTGAGTAGCATGAAAGGTATGAAGGTGAATAATAGTTCGTGTGGATGATTCTCCAGCCCCCCCCCCAGTGATGGCAGGAAACAGACGGAAGGGTTATCTTCAACAGAAAACTCGCCCAACACATCACGCTATTCCAGACGGTGCACACAGCACTTGCTGCTTGCTCTGCCACACACCTGACGAACTCAGCCGCCTCTCTCACTGCCCGTCCAGCGTTTTGCTCTCCACCTGCTACATCCTGTTCTCCACACAGCAGCTAGAGGGTCTTATCACCCAGTTTTTTATCTCTCTCTTGAACCTTCAATGGCTCTCTGTTGCACATTGGATAAAGCCTGTGTCCTCCAAGGCCCTGCTGATCTGATCTTCCACCATGAGCTGAGCAGCCCTAATCCAAAGAAAAGAAATATGAAATGCTCAAGAATCAGAAACTTTTTGAGTGCTGACACAATGCCTTAACTGGGGAATTTTACACCTGACCTCATACAGCAGATTGCAGTCAAAACCCAAGCGTGAGGACATATTGCACAACATTATCATCAAGCAGCGTGTATAGAGTATATGTGAAACATGCATGAATTTCCTGTTTAGAGTTAGATGCCTTTTGTAGATGTAACAACTCCAAAATTCAAAAATACATCAAATTTGAAACCCTTCCGGTAGCAAGCATTCCAAATAAGAGATGCTCAGCTCACACCCTTCCTTCCTCCCCACGTTGCATCAATGCATGCACCAGCTGCTCACTGCCCCGCCCATCACCCTGGCCTTCCTCACGTTCCAAAGCATCAAACCCTTGCTGGGAAATGGCCTTTTTTTTTTTTTTTTTT